AAGAGAACTTGATGTCTGCTTGTCAGCCAATAGCTACACCAGTAGAATAAGGCTTACAACTCACAATAGACCCGAATCAAGCACAAGGGCAGATACCAAAGATAAGTTGTCCGACTAGTCTATTTAGCACATATAAGGCCAGATTTGGCACATGTTTTAGGAGTGGTCAGCCAGTTCATGCTTTTACCTTGGAGAGCAGCATATGAATATTATTATGAGAATATTAAGATATTTGAAGGGGAATCCTGGAAAAGGGATACCGTTCAAGAAGAAGAACCATCTCTAAGATGAAGGACATACTGATGTTGTCTGGGAAGGATCAATTGATGATAGGCGTTCCACATCGCGTTACTATACATTCGTGGGAAATAATTCAGTTACATGAAGGAGTAATGAATGAAATGTGGTAACTGGTCTAGTGCAAAAGCAAAATACTGTGAAATGGCATTGGGGATTTGTGAAATATTATGGATTCGAATATTTGGGACAACATAATTCTCAACCTAAGAAATTATTTTGTAACAATCAACCAGCACATGATTGCGCATAATCCAGTACATCATGATGGACAACACATGTTCAAGTGGACCGATGTTTTATCAAACAGAAGATCCATGGGAAGATCATTGAAGTACCAACTATTAGAACATGAGATCAGTTGTCGGATATACTCACAAAGGTAGTCGATTGTCGTGTATTTACTAGGTTCCTATTCAAGTTGGGCATGTGTAATATCTATGTTCCAACTTGAAGAGGAATTTTGACTTTTGAATATTTAGGATTCCTAGTTATCAGAGTAATTATTGTAATTAGTTTTATTTCTCTTATTGTTCAGGACTGTATTGCCCTGTATTTTATAAATTCACCTTCTTGTGAGAAGAATAGAATCATTATTCTCCTTGTCTACTCGTTAAAACCATAAGAAATGTAACCGTAGCCAAAAAAAAAAAAAAAAGATACTTTATGTAACCCTAGGCAAAAAAATGATACTTTTGTTTGGACCCAAAATAATACTTTCGGCCGAACCCATGATTGTTCTCGGTCCAATAAGAAGTATCAGGAATATTCCCACCTTGGGCCTGGCCTAGTAGAGTTCGGCCAAATCCTATCAGAAGATGGTTCCGTCTAGATAAGGGTGAAGTGGTCGAATCCTAGTACAATAAGGATTCCTCAGAAGCTAAGGATCTTCGAGTCAGAAAAGATGCCAAGAGTCAAGGGTTGAATCTAAGTGATTAAAGAGCTTGATTCATAATCCTATAGTAGTAAGGATTGGTTGAGACCTATTTAAATTGGGTTAAAGAGTTCTAGTTCGGGTGAAACTCTACCTCGGTCATCGAGGAAATTACTACTAGAAATAGAGAATAGAGTCCATCATTCAAAGCCCCTTCAAATCAACACACAATTGCCCTACGCAAACAACCTATCAAAGACCTTGAGATTTTTATTTTCCTTTTTCCCTCCAACACGCCTTCAGTTTGGATAAACAACAATGTGGAGGCAACCGACAACATCTTTAGTTTGGATAAACAGCACTAGAGCCGTAGAATCAGCCGATCGAGGAGCACCTTCAGTTTGGATAAACAGCACTGCTTCGAGACCGACTGGTTACTTATCCAAGTCTTGGCCAGTAAGGATTTCTGAGTCCTTGTTGGAAGAGGTCATCTCATCAGCCTTCTCAGCGAAGTAAGGTGTTACCATGTTACTACATATTGCACTCTGAAAGCCGAATTCGATATTTAACTTCATTGAACTAGTAGCCTTGTCTTGAGGTTCTAGAACCTAAAGGCCAAGACGTGTTCCTTTCTCAACCACAATCGCGAGATCAAGAAGTCAGTAGCGCGCCCAGCGCCACATCAACATTCATTTCACTCCCTCGCTGAGCTTGGTCAACGAGTTGGCATGCCCCGCATTCAACCAAAGGACATAGTTAACTCATTAATTACTCGACATGCGCATCACGTAGGCTAAGTAGTGTTTAAGGTCAACAACTTTACGCCCCTTGATACGATACATGGAACTAGAAATGTGATCACTATAATTGTGAACATGATAATGTACAGAGCATGTAACTCATACGAATGAAACTTTTGGATCAGATCTAGTTACCACTTATTCCAAAAGTGATGTAATTTTGAGCATGATAATGCATGGCTGATAGTTATGGAAGAGAGAGGGAAAGATAACGGTAGTTTAGAACATAAAAAACAAATTAAAAATGAGTCTTCGAACTAGACAAAGTTTCATTTGTAAGTCGTTAGATTACTATAAAGCCAAGTACAAGCAAAATGCGTGGCAAAAATGTAAATATATTCGGTTATTCGAAAAACTACTTGACTATCATGACAACTAATTAATTTTAATATCCTAATTCAAATATATAAAAAATCCAACCTACGTTACCCACTACTGTCGACTCTTGGTAGGAAGAATTCTAAATTCTAGCACTGGCATTCTTTTTCTAAGGCACGCTAATGGGGTTCGGCGTTGTCCAGTCTTGTTGTCTGGTTCTTCTTGTACCATCGCATTAAGCTTAACCTATTATTTACTGAAATCACTGAATTAAGACAACACAACTCACTTAACGATTTCAAAATTCGACGTTTTGTTTAATTTTGCAATTTTTGTTTTATTCATTTGTAGGATCAGACAAGATATATATGAAACCCATGACCCTGAAGTTGCGATAACTTTTGTAACAAAATTAATTAACGTCATTCGCTAAAGAGTTTAAAACACATAAACTGCACATGCATCATCCATCAATCACCATGAAAATAATGGAAATTAAATACGGAAATCAAACGCATGAAGACAAAGTTTAAAAGGAACCAAACTGTTGGAAGTTCTTATTGGGGGTATTAGCTAGCAAAAATTGTGTGTAGTAATATACAGTTGTTAGGGTAATTTTAATTATAAACGTGCCATTATTTTTTTCATGTTAAAAATATTACAAAGAAAACCATCGAGCGATACCAAGATTCCATCAATTACTTCCAACAGAACCATCAAAATTAAGTTTAAGATATTCAAATTTGGAGGGCTCCACAATATGTTATTACTATCTGGGGCTCTTGTTTTTCTGTTTCTTTTTTTGTCTAAAAATCTGAAAGAATATGTTTAATTTGAAAGACCATATATATTACTTATGTTAGGCTAAATATTATTAAAAAAATAAATTAGCCTGATCTCCCATTTTCACTGTAAAAAGTTTTTCTTAATCTCTATTAATTAATGAAATCCTCTTTGTCAACCAAAAGAAGGTAAAAAGACAACTCAGTCTTTTATCACACAAAAAAAAGGACAATAATGCAATTTCATATGTTCAAATTTTATTATTTTTTATTAAAGCTTCACCTACCGGTGATGTTAAATATCTCTAATATTTAAAATTAAAATTAATAAAAATAATAAAAAATAAAAACCAAAAACAAAAACCTCTCACTCCTCCCATGTTCTCTCTCTCTGTCTCCCTCTCTCCTTCTTATTTTTTTGAACACACACAAAGTGTGTAGGCAAATGCTAGTATAATTGAAGAAAAGACAACCATTGAGACAGTATCCACTGGATTAAATTACAATTTAATTTGGTCGTAAGTCCATAAATTGTCCTAAGATCATAACCGTTGAACATTGAAGTGTAACCTTTAACGCTTATTGTGTAACTTTGCATTTCTTGTAATTTAGACATTTAATGCTAACATCATGTTCATGTTGTAACACTATTACACACAAAAATTGAGTTCAAAACTGAATAAACGACGATGCGTAAATCCATATTGTTTACTAATAATAACATATATTTTAGAGAATTGTCATTTGCACTCCTTATAAGTGTATTTTTCTTTCTAAATAGAAAGTTTAGAGTACAAAATGAGAATTTTGGAATGTCAACAACAATTCTCATACTTTGTCTTGTAATAAGACAAAAGAGATCAATAATTTTTTTGTTGGGTACTATAGAATTTCCTTATTACATTAACTTTTTTTAAGGGAATAACCCCACAAGGGAAAGACCGCACCATCCATTAATGATCTTGTAATCGTCGGCAAAAACCCCTCTATATGAGTCACCTCCAACGACTGTCGATCTTTCTCTGCATAATCCTTGTCAAGGATACAGGATCACAAAATCACCACCTCAAATTTGAACAACAATTGTCACTGTAAGATTCAGGGTTGAACGGAATAAGTTATGACCTACTACAAAAGCTCTCCTCCTCAAAAAGAAAGTGACCACAACCACAACTACAAAAGCTCTCCTTTAAAAAAAGGAGAGAACGACCACTGCTAAAACAGAAAAAGAAAGAAAAGGATCAAGAATGATTGCTGCCGACTCGAAGGTCAAAGACTGAGGTCTGGGACGGCAAGGGTTTTCTTTGGTTTTTTTTTCCCTTGCATTATATAACTTTAACTATTAGGTCACAAACGAGCTAATAAGTACTTATAGATAGCTGAAAATTGCCGCTTTTTCCCGTCTCTGCAGCTAAAAATTGCCTTTAGAATCTACCAGGACACCAAATTTTATGACATGGCTTATTTGATTGATTCAAAATTATATATTACAAAACATGTATTATTGACGCACATAAATTAAGCTAAGCAACAGTACTTTTTTTGTCAAACGATAGATTTTGTTAGATTAGATGTTAGATTAACCACTCATAAGGTGATCTCACATTTTTATACCAAATTTGTGTATCATATGATGTGGCAAGTGATGCGTATGTGCCACGTCAATTAATAAATTTTTCTCATTAGACGTAGAATATATAGACATAACTTCCTGTGTATGTATGTTAAGTCTAAACCACCAACAATAAGCAATTGTAGGTAATAAAAAATTTACACAACCCAAGTTTTCCTTTGCCATTAAAACCAAACAGTGGATAACTACAGCTTTTTTAGACTATAAGGTCTAGGAGAACGGGGCTCTATAAATACATTCTTTCTTCATCATTCAAAGTATCCTATACGTCCAGCTTTCAGTCAAGGGAGAGGGAGATGGGTATTCTTAATCACATTGCTTTGATAAGCGCAACTTTTGTTATCCTACAAACTCGTTGGTCAAGTAGTTGGCCTACGGATCCAACCCTTGGCTTCCTACGACTCCCACTAAACAAATCCAACTTTCACATCCAAAAACCATATGATTTGAAAGAAAGTGAGCGCTACAGCTTTAAACATGGAGTGCACAAGATGTGGGTATACTTCACAGACAAGCCCCTCTATCGTAATAGTCCTACCCATCCTCGAACTGAGATCCGAATAACGGTACGTAAGTATTTGACAAGACAAACTAAACTTCTACATGCATCTTCATAAATTCTTTTTAAACCTCCCTTTACTATGTGTCATATATTTTCTGGTCGTAATTTGATTTAATCGTGTGCTTCTGCGAATATATTATGCAACCACAATTAATTTTGTAAGGAAATCTATTGCGCCATGACGGTGGGGATAGGTTTGGATTGGACTACCCCCTACATTCATGAAGGAGATCAATGCTCACCACACCCTATTATTTGTCGTTAGATAAGTTATATGTGTTTATCTATTAGACAAATTTTGAAATTTAATTTTCTACTTTTGTCGAGATTTTCTTCTCTTAATTCATCCAAGCTAATCATAAACACCAAACATGCAAGACCTCTTACGCTTAGGAAATCAATTCGATTTTGAGCGCTTCTTTCTCCCGGATGCCTCAGTAAAGCAATGATGAGTGCACGAGTTACCCCAAGTCATAAGGTTGGAATGATGAGGTTAAGTTCATGACAGGCCGAATATTCTATCACTTCTGCACTTCTCCAGTGAAGTAACGATCGAGGTATGGGGTTGTATGCATGCAGTGATAAAATGAGAGTACTAAAATCTTAGGGGATATTACTAAAATTATAAATAGATTTAAACTTCATGAGAATATCATTTCGTAGTTAAGGGGATTAGAAGTATGTTAAACCTTAAGCCGTCTTACTTTACAGTTAAAAACATCAAGGGATTCTGTTACACAAATAAAGATTAGGAGATTGTGTAAAGACAAGATAAACCTACGTTACTTTTCATAAATTTTGCCATTAAAACATGTCACCTGAAGTAGTATTTTCGTCAATTAAAATAAATCAAATCTCCTCATAGTTTAATATTTTACCTGCACTACAAATTATGTTGGAAAATAAATTATGTTTCTATATACCCCAAAAAACAACTCTGATGCTATGTTTAAACTTAACTTGGCCTACGTTTTCATTTGATGAGTAGCGATGTGAATTTCACAAAATCTCTTATGAAATTAATTAATTAATATTATTAACAGGAAATTTAGACTTACAATTTGGGGGTTAATTACACAAAACCTCTTGAAGTTTACCCTGTTTTCACAAAAGCCCCTCACGTTTGAGAAGTAACGCTAACACCCCTTGAGGTTTTAATTCACTTTCACAAATACCCCTTTAGTTGAAAATCAGTCCCTAAAAAGACAAATTTACCCTTATAATTAATTACTTAACAAAATAAAAACTATTATAAATAATTAAAAAAATAAAAAATTACACAAAACATTTAAATATAAAAGAATGATAAATCCCATTGGAATCCAAACATCTAACCTATGTTTGTTTTTCCACTACTGCCACTAACATCAACATGCACTCGACCCACAAACCCATTCCCGCCAACTTCTTACTCCTAGCAACCCCCTTTCGATCTTCTTCTCGGTTAAACAATCCCAAAGCTTTGGACAAAAGAGATGGCAAGGTCGACGAGAAGATTTTCTGGAAAGTGTGAAACTAAGATAATAGAGCGAGAGAGATGGTGATGTCGACAAGAAAGTTTCAGAATGAAAGAGATGGCGATGTCGTAGTTAGTGGCGTTAAAAACATGAACGGAGGAGGTAGCGGAGAACTGGCCGTGCTCTCCAGTTTCATGAAGAAAATCGGTTCTTTTTCGTCTTCTTCTAGTGTAATTAACACATATATGTATGCTTACTTTAGTTCCAACCCCTGGTGATTTTAGTGAAAGCCATGAGATGATTAGAGTGCTCGGATCTCCTACACTAGAACCATTAATAGGTTCATAGTTGTAGCCTGTATCATTCATTATTAATTCTCAACAAAATAAAATCTATGTGGCAGCATAATAATTATTCCCAATTGAATTGATTTTATATGTTCATGTTCATGCCCCCCTACACCCCAGTTCAAGACCAGAACGTCAATGAGTGTTGGGCTGCATTGAGATGGTTCAAAGCGAGAAAAAGAGAAGAGGGGAGGAGTCTTTTGGAGGCAATAATACTTTTGAAAGATGGTGGCTGAAAATGGAAGGGAAAGAAGATCCATGGGGTTTCTTTTTTTTTTTTTTCCGTTTAAATTTTTTTAATTTATGAAAGTTTTTTTTTTTTTTTTTTAACTTTTCAAGTAATTAATTATAGGGGTAAATATGTCATTAAGAAGTGATGTGAAAGAAAATTAGAACCTCAAGGGGTGTTAGTGTTACTTATCAAATGTGAAGAGGTTTTATGAAAACAGGATAAACCTTATGATATGTTAGTATAATTAACCCACAGGTCAAAATAAATTCAAATATATTCCCAATTAGAGTTGCTAATATCTACTCAACTTTCTTAGGAAAAGCTATAAATCAATATTTGTGTTTGTAAGATAGATTAATTAGTGAAACTACCTCTAGGTACACTTATCAATTAATTGTGTATCAGCAGGGATATGATTATTCTTCGGGTGTATGGCAATTCGAAGGATACGGGTATGTACCATGTGGAACAGCCAATGTCACCATAATGCAAGTGTTTGGGGGAAGCCCTCATGCAACAACGTTTATGCTTAGAGTTGACCAAAATGGTACCCTTACATATTATAGGAGTGCCATTTTGGCTTCAAACATGTACGACAGGTGGTTCAGGCTTAATGTGATCCATGATGCCAATGCTTCGCATTTGAAGGTTTATATTGATGGAGTTCTCAAGTTTGAGGCACCTGGTCGGGGAGGGACCTCGCATTATTTCAAATGTGGTGTCTACTCGCAGCCAGATGGTTCCTACTACATGGAGTCTCGTTGGAAGGGAATCAAAGTACTCAAGAAATGTGGATGACTGGTGCCTAAGGGTCTACAGAACCTTAATGACGTGCTGGTTGGCTCGAAGCCTCAATTTAAATGCATGCAAGTGAAATATTTTATCGATTTACGTTTTATTTTTGCAGAGTTTTGTGAAATGTTATATTTTGTAAGAATGACACTACTTGATTCCTCCCACTTTGCATGCTAGTGGTGACACTCATCATTCCATGATTACGGTTCGATAAATTTGATTAATCCATCTACTACACAAATTTAAAATTTTAAAATAATCTAATGATAATTAATATAGTGATGAGTAAAAATGCACTCTTTATTTATTTAAATGAATAGCCCTGGCCTCCTTTCTCTCCTCTCCTCTATGAGATTGCTAATTTTGTGCCATAATTCTCCTTAAAATTAAAAAGAAAAACCGTAATCATGACAAGAGCACAATCATCCATGGTGGATGTCTTTCCAATACTATTTTAGGTTTGCAAGCGATGAGTTGAAGTAGCAAGTGCAAAAATAAATGAGAGGGGTTAATTGTTTTTGTATTTACTAGTTAATTTTCAATGGCTTTTAAACTTGACTTGTTATTATAGTGCTACCTACTGAGCAAGTTGTTTGTTTCCCCACTCTTCAACTAATGTCAATACAACAATTTTTTTTTTTTCTAACCAAAGTCTACGTCACTTGCTAAAATTACCTCGCTTAAAATTGTCAAATATTGAATAACAGAAGTGTTGAAAACTTTTAAGGCCTTAAACAAATTATCCAATATGTAAAAGGTTTCACAAAATAGCAGGCAAGGGTTATACCATTCAATTCTTCAGCCCGGCTCTAATCATACCAAACAATAAAAAATCTTTTAATCATTGGAACAATAAAATAATATAAAAAGTTTTTTTAAATGTCATAAATTTATACATTTTTGTTTTATTTTTTTATATAAATTAAAATTTAATTAAGGGATTTGTTAAAACTACATTCGTGCACCGTCTTGAAGAGTGAAATGCACAAATCTGTTTTTGCCCCATTATGTTTTTTGCTGACAAGATTTTAGTGAGGCAGCATTATGCCTGTCCAACACATTATCAATATTTCTTAAATTATGCTCGATTTTTCTCCTTGGTTTTAGTTTTGTTTCACTGGTTTTATCGAGACAAGATTGGTGAACATCCAAATAAAAGTGTTACAAATAACATTTATTATATGGTTGTTCACCTTAAAATCACCATTCATTCAACAAAATTTAGTAGTAGTAGTACTTGAGAATGGAGAGACATATTTTTATACTCTAATTAAAAGTCCAATATATTAAACCATGATGGTTGCCAGAGGGGACAGGCGTGGCATTAGTTGGCGGGAGGAGTAGGCGTGGTGGCGGCAGCAAGAGGAGATGAAGCAGGGGCGGAGGAATTAGTAGTAGTAGCAGATGCAGCGGCGTCACAGTAGCCTTGCAAAATGTTACCCTCCTCGGCCGTGAAACCGATGGAAGTCAGCATTGCAGGCCAGCAGTGGCGCGTAATAGTGGCAATGGCTTGGCAACAATCAGGCCCTATATCAGCCTGCCCATTCAGGAAAAACAGAACCACCTCATTGGAGCATAATTTCAGCTCCGCAAGCGCATTCCAGCAATCGACTAGCCCGCCATTTCCCTCGCTTCCAGTTTTGACTCTCGCAGTGATGGGGATGCTGTAGGCTGGCTGAATGGGATCAATCACGTTCCTTGCTGCAAGTGCATAGTTTGCACCGGTGAATATTAGGCATACTGTCACCAGGACAGCTACATTTTGTAAAGCCATGGTATTACGGCTAGAACTACCACAGATGAAATATATGTATGTATTTGTTTTTCTGAAAATCCGAATGTGTGAAGAAACTGTTAGGGCTTGGGAAATAATTTATAGTGGAGATTGATCCGGTGAGGAAGCAGAGAGGGCTACTAATTATTGATTAAGGAGTTAATTATTATCATGATCATGGAGTTTGATAATTTAATTTTGGTGTTTGATTAATATTCCAGGAAACGTTTACATGGGTAACTTATGAGAAAGAAGGTAATGAGCTGAATGCCGACGCCTGATGGTTGTTGTCACCAAAGACCTCCCCCGATTGACAAAATGTTTCACTACAGAAGTGTTAACCATAGGACTGTGTGGTGCTCCGGAGATCCTTGGATGTTTTGATATAGCCAAGTCGTTTTTAGGCTTCTTAGACTAAACATGTTTGTTTTAAAAATTTGATTAAACTTTCTCCCACAACTTTGGTGCAATGTGTATCTTAATATACCCATTTTGATGTACCTAAATTACATGACCTGCCATAGCCTTTAGCAAATCAGATTTTGGTATCCTATTTCTTCACGCCAAAAGAAAGGAGGTTCCTAGATTCTTGTTAACTGATGTCTCAGAGTTTTAATTCGAGAAGAATACTGATTGTACAAGATAAGAAGGATTTTTTTTGTTTTTAGTACATCAATATTTTTATACTAAGAGGAGGGAAGTTCGGTAAAGCCACACAATGAGCAATCTAATTTGGTATCAAATTCGCTATCCACGAGATTCGAATTTAAGGCCCCTGACTTCCAAGTGAAGAGAATATCACCAGACCGTAGTATTAAGTGGCAAGATAAGAAGGATTTGAACTTAAAGATATTAATCTTGTTAAGTTAAAGATTTGAATTACAATAGTTCACTAGTTCCTCATTCAATATGTCGATTTGGAAAACAATTTTCTAAAATTAGAATTCACTAGTTTTCATCTAGGTATTAATTATAATTAGAGTTAATTAGATTTAAACGCTCAAATTTTGAATTTCTTTTATTAAACATTCATGCCTTTTAGAATTTAGATCATTAGGCCACATCAGTATTTCTTATTTTTTTCAAATTAAAAATAATAATTGTATTTTTTAAATTAAAATTTTACATATTGATTTCTAAATTTGTCCTTTTAATTAGTTGAGAGAATTTTTTTTTATCTGCCCATTTTTTTCATTCATGTATTTTAGGAGTTGTGGACTCTTTTTATAGGAGATAATTTTGGTTTTTTCGCTCAACATATTTATCCAATTATCTCTTTTAATTTTTGTTTTCGTTAAAAACATTTTTTTATCCTAAAATTGAAATGATGGACGCTTAGATTTTTTTTGTTTGTTTATTATTTAGTATACTTTTTGTTAGATAATTATTTTGTATACATTTGAATTTGTACATATTGTTGAGTAGTGATAATGGTACGTTTATTGTTGGTTATCATATATTGGTTTTGTATTGATTAGTACGTTTATTTTTAATTTTTAGGTGTACATATCGTTGATTGGTACATTTAGTTTTAGCTTTTGGTACGTTTTGTTTTAGCTTTCGGTACGTTTAGTTTTGTTCTCGTTGATTGATAGGTTTTTTTTTCATGATTTTGTTACGATTGTTTTTGTATACGTTATGGATTGTACCATTTGGTATCATATGGGTATGATTAATATTATACATATCGTAGATTGGTACATTTACTTTTGTTCTTCAACGTTGTTTACTAATACGTTTATTTCCGGTTTTAGTAGGTTTGTTTTCATACATATTTTTTATTGGTACATTTGGATTATTCTCGATGTTATTTTCTTATATGAATTACTACAAAAATTTATGAGCAACTTCCTAGTGGGTCACCCATCATGGGATTGCTCTAGCCCCATTCTCGCTTAACTTCGGAGTTCCTACGGAATCCGAAGCCAGTGAGCTCCCAAAAGGCCTCGTGCTAGGTAGGGATGGGAATATACATATAAGGATCACTCCCCTGGGCGATGTGGGATGTCACAGGAATCAAGGGAGCTAGATTGTAGGAAATTTGTTTCAATATCTCTGCACTTTTTTCCTGACGTGAAGAATTTAGGCAGTGGTAAGATCTGTAATTTTGGTGCAAATAAAGGATAGTTATGATATATGAAACTCCAAACTTGTAGGGAAAATGTTTAATTAAATCTCTAAAACCAACAAATGTTTAGTCTATAGAGTTGAAAACTCAGGCACTTATATCAAAAAAATCCCTTATAATTAATATTGTCAACAACGATAAGCTTCTGAAATCAACACCCCTATGATCAAATACAAAATCATCAATGAATTGTTTTACTGAACTCATCGTATTGTGAGTTTTAAATGCCCTCTTTTCATACTAAATTTGTAACGTACTAGGAGTTTGGTACTTTAGTGAATCTTATGTTGACACATATTGATTGTTGGGTCATGAAATAATATGAATTTAGAACGTACCAGACATTTGGTACATAAAATTTTTTATTTTTGAAATGTATACTTTTGATGAAACATTATACAATGTGTGTTTGAGACATACCTATTGTTTGGCATGTCTCTACCTTATTTCGACAAGTAATGATCATTTGGTATTAAACTAACCAACTAACTTGTACGTTAATTAATGTTATGTTGACACATATTTGCTTCATGAAATAATATTAATTTAAAACGTACCAGACATTTGGTATTTTAAATTAATGTTTTGAAATGTACCTGATGAAACGTTATATAGTGTGCATTTGAAACTTAACAATTATTTGGTACGTCTTTTTACATTATTTCGATGAGTAATGATCATTTGGTATTAAACTACCAACTATCTGGTACATTAATTCATGTTAATTTGACACATAGTGATTGTATGGTTCATGAATAAGATTAATTTAGAACGTACTAGAGGTTTCGTGCATATTAGTTTTATTATTGGTACGTACCCGATTGATGAAATGTTATATAATGAGAGTTTTAAACGTGCCTTATTTGGTAGGTCTTTTAACGTTATGTTAATTCAAAAGATACAAATCACTTGATACATAAGGTGCAGTTTTGACAAGAATTGGTACGTAAGATGCACATTGCTTCAAGTAAATACATAATGATTTATTACCAAAAATTGCTTTAATCTAAACTGCTTGTGAGCAAGAGAAACTTTTAATCTACTAGTGACGACATGAACAATACCCATTTTTCAAGTCTACCATCACCGAATCATCACTAT